ACTAATTTATTTTAAATACTAAAAAAATCTATGAGCTAATATCATCTTATTCAATAAACAACTATTTTTTAAAGCTTTTAAAATCATAACAGATTCTTAGACTACAATACTATATTATAAAACAATATATTAGCAGTGATTATTTGATAAATAGAAAAACCTATCAGTTATAATTTTGGTCAAATTTACAGATCATTTGATCAGATTTGAAATTGGGTTATCTTAGCTTTAGTTAAATAATCTGCAAATTTGACCAAACTTATAACTAATAGATTTTTCTATTTAACAGGTAATACAGATCTGCTGATAGGATTTATATTAAAATGAAGACTTTAATATATTATTTCAAATTAGTAAATTAATCTATATGGAGTTTTCTAAGTAAAAATACTATATGTAACCAAAAATAAGCTATTATTTTTGGCCAAAAAGTTATATAAAAATTTTACAGATAGCTTATTTTTAAAATATTAAGTTTTTTAGAATTTTAAAATATCTTTATAAATATTTGTCCATATTATATAAAACTTTCAAAGTATATACAACTTGATGAACAGCAGAGGTCTTTTTCGATTTTTAGCTACAAAATCGTACATCAGGGTATGTCAAGTGTGACCCAAATTTGTATGAAGAGAGCATCCTCCTGCATCGCAAATACTAAGTAAAATTTTCTATTATATATAATAATAAATTATCATTATATATAATCGAAAAATTTTACTTGGTATTTGCAATGTAGAAGAATGCTCTCCTCATGCAAATCTAGGTCACACTTGATGTACCTCTGACATATGATTTTGCAGCTAAAAATCGAAAAAGACCTCTGCTTTGATAAACTGAACAAATTCTGTTAAAAAACTAAAACCAGTTTACTTAGTAAAATTTTAAGTTTTATATATAAAACAATTTGCAAATTTTTGTATTTTTTGAAAAAATATTGTAAGTAGCTTATTTTTAGTAGTAGCTTATTTTCAGCAATATATGTTGCAAATTAAAATGAAATCAGATTAAAATAAAATTGGGAACCTCTCTTGCACATCCTTAAACTTATAAAACCCACATATACTTTTTCTTAATAATTCTAACCCTAAACTCTACTTCTAATACTAAAAAAAACTCAAAAAATATCTCTTAAAAATTTTAAATTTTCCTTAAAAAATAAAAAAAATTTCATTTTAATCTGATTTTATTTTAATCTTTACAATATATAATATTCTAAGCCTCCAAAACTCTTCTTAAGCTTTAATTTTAATTTAAATACTAACTTTAATATGAAAATTTTTATTAAATTTTATATATAATACATTGTCACTACTATTGAACTCTTTCTGACAATCCTTTGGTCAATAACAAAATAAACTGAACTACAGAAAAACACTATAGAAAAACAACAAAGTAGGCACAACAATACTCTTGGTTTATATAAACAAACTTGCTTTGATGAAGCTACTATATATGTGAAATACTGAAGAGCAGATGTTTGATAAAGAGTGGGCTATGCCTTTGGGTCAAGTTTTTTAGTAAACTTACTTGCATTTTCGGCATCTAAACCAGAAGAGTTATTCTGGAAGCAATGTTCCTATGGGTTCCTAGTCAAAAATATTTAGTAAAAACTAAGAAACTAGACAATACAACTGTAAAACTTTTAAGAAAAATCTCACATACTCTTGTTGGGCCATCATTTTTTTTTGAGGAAATTTTGTAAAAAGTAGATGATTTAGTTTACTCTCCAAAAGATCAACATTACATATACCAAAATAGTCAGCATTGTTTATTTTCTAAATCAGTATAACAGAACAACAAATACATCAAGACACGTGTCTCGAATGTAAAAGCTGATCAAACAATACTCTGAGATTAATCTGAATCAAGTACTGACCTCTCTACTTAATTTAGTCAAAGAAGTATTTATCCAACATTGTTTTAACTTAGAAATACTAAATAGATAAATTTAAAGTAGGGATATAATTTATTTAGTATAGTATATAATTTTTTAAGCTTTTCACAAGCCTATAAATGTGACATTAGGATAGTTATTTTTTTTGGTTTGTTTTGATATTTTTCATTTTTTTTATTTTTTTACTTGTATTTTTATTTGTTATCTTCTATACCTTTATATTTTTTTGTTTATTTGTTTTTTTTTTTATTAGGCTAAGTATGCAGCTGCTCTAGCTAATAATTATTGGATCAAATTCTCAGAGAGTTGAGGATCCAATGTGAAATATAGTACTGCTAAACAAATCATACCTGGGCCTTAGTGCTAAGTGAGTCTCTTCGCACAGTAGGATTATAGTATAGAAAATTATATTTCCTGTTAATATTAATCTTCTAATACTTCTAATAAAGCATGAGGCAGAATTACTAAATATAAAAAAAATTTTTATATACAATAGGTATAAATCACTATAGGTGTATTTTATAATTACTGAAAATAAATTTAATTCAAAGGTAATTATTTATTGATTTTATTAAAAAAATAAAAATACTATGTAAAGTAAATGTAGATATTTTGTTAAATTAATATATTGATATTTTTTTATTAACTAGCCTCTTTAGGTTGATGGTTTTATTCAAATATTTAGATAAAAGACTCACTACAGAACTCATTACATTAGAGAGTATAACTAGCTACATGTGCAGCTTTGATTATCTATTTAAATAGTCTGTATTATAGTATTGTATATAGGTTCTATACTAGCTGTTATATCTATAACACAACTAAAAGATTATTTATTTAAATCTTCTATAACACAACTTGAATTGTATTACTAATATATCTCTGTTATAATCATCAATTGAAAAGTTCTATATGCTTTCTCTAGAGCCTTTAAAACTAATTTATCCTTGAGAAATCATTACTAAAGCTTTCTATATCTACAATCTGACTAATCTAGATTTTGGTAATTTATGCTAAGTTTAAAGACAAGTACTTGTAAGCCAAAGCCACTACTATTACCTATTTCTGCCCTTGCAAAGTTTATCCAAACCCAGTACCTACTACACAGATTGTTAATTGTCTCTTTAGCTTCTTCAAACTTCTAATTCAGATGGTTTGGACGGATAACCTCCTCTTCTGATTATCTAATAGTCTGGTTTGTAAAATATCTTGCTAAACACTTTAGTCCTGTTTAGTTTTTTCAATCTTTTAAATGATAATCCTTTATATATTATTATTAAAAATTTGTGCTAAGGTTTTGCCAAATGGGCTTCTATATTCTTTAATCTGTTGGTTTTATATAGCTGCTTTATTTAGATTTTATATAACTTGTACATTACACTATAGTTCCATAACCTCCTAATATTAGCTAATATGATTATGTTACAGATGCAAACCCAATAGAATACAGTTTATCTAATATATTTTATAAATTTGAATTTTGTCACTGATGAAATTTAAACTTTTGTCCTGCCACTTGGAAGTGCAATAACTTACCAACCACACTAAGTTATTGTACTTTAAAAAATATTTTTTTACTAAATAAATTAAATATTATTTACTAAATAAAGTTATTCTTAAATTTTAACACTATATTAATATCCTATTACTAATAGGTTTTTTCTATATAGAAAATCAATTTACTATACCAAAATATAATGAAAAACCTATTAGTAAAAGGTTATTAATATTGCATCAAAATTTAAAAATAAGTAAAAGATAGTATTTAAGATTAATCTTTAGTACAAATGGGTATATATATTTATTATATAATTATAATATATATAAATTAACTATTTTGAACTAATTTAAGTAATTTTATAAATTTTTAGAGTTAGGGTTAAGGTTAAAATTTAAATTAGCTCAAATTAGTTAGGTTTTATATATTATAAACTTGTAATAATTTATATCTATCTATACTAAAGGAAATTTATATAAAACTATTATATATAATAGTTGGTATAATATATAATATATTAATAAAAATCTTGAAGCAAAACCTTATTTAAAAATAAAAATAAAATCAAATATTGTTTGTTTCTAAATATAAAATTTTCAAAATCAAAAATTATAGTTTTTTTTGTAATATTTAGATATCAATTAACTGCTATAAAATTATATTATTTTTTAATAAAAAGGTAAATTATTATAATATAATTTTGACAACCTAGTTCTAACAAATAAATTAAAATGCTATTTCTTGTTTACATAAAACATTAAACAAAAAATCACTTTATAAAACATTAAAATTATTTAAGTTAAATATCTTGATAGTCTTGATTGTTTTAAATTTATTTATAATAAAATAGTAGAAAACTAAAGTCAAGACAATTTTATAATTAAACAAGCTATTAAACAAGCAAATTTGGCCACTTTATATACTAAATTTGACCACTCTATATATTAAATTAACTATATTAGATTTTTACTACAAATAACCGGCAGTAATCATTACCGCCTCTTATTTTTAGGGTCAGGGAGCAGCTTTAAGTTTGGATTAGGTTTTTGGGAATTCTGAACATTTTTGCTTAGTGCCTCTGAGGTGAATTAGCTAGTAGGTTTTTGAGATATAGCACCCCGGTGATAATCACCGCCGGTTGCAATATTCATTAAATTAATAATTTGGTCACTTTATGTTAAATTTTAAATTTGGCCGTATCATATATATATAAATTAAATTTTAATTTTGTCCGCACAGTAGAAAAAAAAAGATTAAATAAAAGTTTGTTCCAAATATATATTTTATAAGCATTTATTAAAGAAATTAATCTGTATTCAAGTATTGTAACTGCATATTGCAATAGTAAAAAAATTAACAAATGATATTATATATTTATTATAAGTTATTTATACAATGTTATGAAAATAATATAGCTTGAAAGTTAACAAAATATTTACATAAATATGTTGTATGAAAAAAATTCAAATAAGAAAAATAAAATTTGGCTTGCATTATAATTTTTAAACCAAACCATTCACAAATTACACATGCACATAAATATGATTCTCTTGAGATAATGATAAGCCAACAACTATTTAAAGTTGTTAACATAAAAATAAAATTCTAATGTTCTACAGTCACGTCTACTTGTATAGCATTATTTCCACTATCACTAACTTCATTTTCTTTGCTTTGAGTGGATTCATCAAGACTTGAACTAGGAAGTTCCTCGGGCTCCTCATAAGTATATTTCTCCTCAATACCATCAGAAAAAAGAACAGTATTTTTAATTGATCTTTGTGTTTCATTTGGAGGTGATGGTGAAGGTGGTGGCATTACAAGCCATTCTTCAATTGCTCGAAGAATATCAGTCAATTCGATATTAGATTTAGTGACAAGGCCTAGTCCTGTCATAACTTTACTACTAAGTTGCCATTCTTGTGAAATATCTTTGGCTAATGTAGACATTTTCACAGTTTCCTGTTAAAATACCGGTAAGAAAATTCAAACAATAAATTTATATAAATTAATCAGTAACCAAGTTAATAATGAGATCGATAAAGTTAATAGATAATTATTTATACATTATTTATACCTGAAGGAATATGATTGTGGCATCATAAACTTTAAGTTGTATACTCAAATCTTCTTTTTGTGTCAATTTTACAGCCAACCGAGATTTTTTCAATTGCTTAGTTACATCCAATACACTTTTAACATGTGATCTTAATTCTTTTAACTTTATTTTCACAGGTAATGTGGGAGCATATTCATCTGTAGATGATCCAATGGCAGTGTCTAATTGATCGATTAAATGTTTTCCAACATTCTCCACAGACTTGATAGCAGCATCAACCTTTGAAAGCATTTGGTCAAATATTGAAATTGGTAATGCAATGTCCGTATAAGAGTTATTTATCAAACCAGCAGAATATGGACCAAGAGAAGAAGATGGAGACATTCCAGCAGTAGACGGAGTACTAACACCGCTTGAGGAACCATTAATTACAGACGCAGAAGAATGAGGAACACTATTAAGATTGCTACTACTATTTGAACGTGACATTGATTTTGATCGCATAGGTGTTGAAGAACCTGTAAAAGGAGTATTATTATTCAAAAGAGGAGATATATTTTCCCAAGCAAATTTAATATCCACAGTAGCACCATGAAACATTAAGAGAAGGGTTCGTGAATAACGAAAATTTTCCGAAGGTTGAGTTAAATATTTAAGATGTTTATTCAATAGATCTAAGAGAACTTTGAAATTTGCTATATTCTCTTGACAAGCACCAAGTAATTTGACTAAATGCTCAGCATCACCTGTTGCTTGCAAAGCAAAATTATCAAATTTTTGTAAGGCAGCACATAATTGTCCTATTGAATGATTAGTCTTATTAAGATCAACAGTAAATATCTTTTCATTGCCGGTAAAAATTACAAATTGACGTAAAGCTTTATGGACTTGAGATAACGCGTATAAGATATTTCGACTAGCTTCCCTCAAAGAGATATCACTCATTCTAAGATGTTCAGTCGGAGGAAGAGTTTTGAGTCTTTGAAAATAAAATTCACTGTTACGCTCCTCCAGAATTGCATGAGAATTTGTTGGAGAATTATGAGTATGAGAAAAGCTTTTTGAATGTACTCGAGCAGAAGTGCTACGAGAGCTCATTAATGCAAGATCCAAGTCATTGCTAAAACTTCTATCACGACGTGAAGGTAAATCTATACTTAATTTAGGACTTGCTCTTTTCTTTTCAAATTTAGAGGTTACTTGTTCATCCTCGGTTATAGTATTTAAAAAATTTGAATTTTCACTAGTTATACGTGAATCCAAATTATATTCCAGATTGTTAATACTATCAACTGAAGAAGATTTTTTTAATAGCTTATTATTTGTCATTTCATCTTGATAAACTTCCTCTTCACTATCACTAAATTGATATAATTATATGAATTTATAAATAAGATAAGCTAATGAATGATTATTTAGTGACAAACCTGGAATTATCACTTTCTTCCATTTCATGACTTCTAATTACTATATAAAATAAAAATATTTAATATTCTTAATATTTAATATTCTAAAAAAAAAAAAAACATACCTGTGTGTTGTCTTAAATATTCTTTTAGTTTAGCCAACCAACATATCATGACTTCTTTTTCATCACTTTTTGGCATTATATAAATAGCTCTTGGTGGAAAACGAATTGGATTATTATCAATTTTTAAATATTGTAAATCTTTCATATCCGCAATATAATTAGGAATTATTCTTATTAAATTTTTGGATATTTTCAATAACTAAAAAATGAATTTTTTTTGGATCAGATTTATAATTTATGATTAAGTAATAATTTTATGATGTAAAGAATAGTAGCATACAAGAATAAGCTTAAATCAGTTAACCTTCAGTGACATTAATTTTCCAAAATCATTTGGTAATTTCTTAATTCTGTTCTTGCTAATATCCAATATTTCCAAACTTGGCATTGCACATAACTGAAAAATGAAATAAATGAATATATATTATACATATATATATATATATATATAATGATCGGATAACAAAGAAAGCTTTTTAAGTGAAAAATATACCGTCTCAGGGAAATCTTTAAATGCATTGTTAGAAACGTTTAAATATCTTAAATATGATAATTTACAAAATTCTGTTGGAAGAGTTGACAATTGATTTGTTTCAAGTCCAAATCTAAGCAAGATCAAAAATCAAGAGCTATGAATATTGTAAAGATAAGATCAATTTATTTTTCCAAGAAGATTTTTCTAAATGAATACCTTTCAACTTTATAATTATCTTTAGACAATAAATTTATTAATTCCACAGGAATCTCACGAATATCCCTCGTTCCTAACCTTATTGTTTTAGGATCATCTTTAAAAGAATCCTGAACCAATTTGATTAGCTTCGAGGCTTCATTGTCGGACATATTAATTCTTATTCGCAATCACAAAAAACGATCACTCGTTCTTTAGATGAGAACGATTAGTGAGATTTAATAGGATCAGAATTTTTTAACGATGGCTAAATTGGGTAAGCATGTAAAGTATTAAGCTTCGAAACGATAGAAGATATTTTTTGTACAAGTGTAAAGCGGGATGAATGAATGAACAAGAGCCAAATGATGGGTATTTTTATACAAATCGGGTTACCGAAGACAAAGAACCTTTTGTTTGTTAATATAATAAATGTACAACATTAATGTGTGACACGTAATATTTTAGCATTACCTATAAATGATAATTTAGACATGGTTGTACAGCTCAATTTAGATACAATATAAAAAGAAGCTTAACAATTGAATTTGGTTTTCAATCTCCCTTTAAAATCATTGCAATACCGCAAATATGAGTTCATATGCATTAATCGAGAACAGGACTAATATCGAAGTCGTTTCCTCTGTATTGACTTCATTCATATCCAATTCATCCGGTACAATACAATTTCGGACCATCTTTAATCAACTTTTTTTTCGAATTTTTTTTTCGAATTAACTTGGCAAAAATATTAATTATTGTTTAGAAATAGCATCCCTCGAAGTATCAAAGAAATCGGAACTTGTATCTGCACTTCTATCTGATCTTGATGAAAATGGGGTTCAACTAAAATGGAATGATGATGGTATTGTGAAAATCAACAATACAAATGAGACAGATAAATAATACCAGGATGATATCTAAGAATTCAAATTTTACATACAGTAAGATTACTAGCATTACAAACTTTAAAGACATTAGGTCGCGATGTGAATGGGTGTGAATTATTGTTTTCAGATAAGGTGAAACCTTATTTTATCATTAATATTTAATTAAAACATCGCAATGTTTTGTTTATTGATTAATAAAAATTACAGGGATTTTTAATATTATTATATCACGCATCACTTTTATCAAATGACATGACCGATACTCCCGTGGCGCAAGAAGCACTTACGTGCATTGCTAATGCGCTTTTATTAAAAGAAAGTACACGTGATATATTCGAAAAGTATAATTGCGTACCAAAAGTCTGCCAAGGCTTAAAGGTAATTTTCAAATTCAGTATTTGGAAACTTTGTCCCTGGATAATTGTTATTTTGGGGTTATAATATATATATATATATATATATATATATATATATATATATAATTTATATACATTCATTGAAATTTACTGATTTTTTTATTTATTTATTTACACGCATAAAATTTGATTTTTAAAAAAAAAGGATATTGGAATTTCGACCAAAACACAATTCCTTTACTCGCGAATTCTCTTTCTGATGACCATTAAAACGTCACCAATCGTTAAACAACTCATTGATGACCTTGAAATAATTGACATACTTTATAACGTAAATTTTGGAAATTAATGTTCCTCATAGTCATTCTTCATTGTTATCAACTTGTTTAATATGAATACTCAACGTAGCAATTGGACATAATAAACAACTATCAGTATTCCATATTGATTATGAACGTACCCTCAACTCCCATGCATATCAATAAAATGGGCCAATACTATAATGTTGTTAACAATGAGGTCTGGCTATATTTGACAATAATATAGTAGTATTAGCTTCTAATAATTTTTATGATTGTTTTTAAAGACCATAAACAATATTGTGAAAGAAATTTCTTCGTCTACGATTGTTGAATCTTCTCCTATCAACAGAGTTACGCTCTTGAGCGAGCAATTAAAATTTTTATTTAACCTGATGCACTATGATCCAAAAATTGTGCGTGAAGGGAAAGGGAAAAGTCAGGAACCTCCGTCAAAATTTGAAAAGTAGTACTTCATCCTTTCAAATTCATTTCATTTTCTCATCACATAAATAATCTATCTTGTTATTTATAGATTACTCCCGGTAATTATTAATATTATCACAGAAATACCATCACCATCACCACTTCCACTAAGTCCACCACATTCTCACGCGATTCACGCGCTTCTGAACTTTCCTGTCGCCCCTTACAAATCAATCTGGTTCCCTCCAGAGCAACAAACTCAACAATATGCTCTTTTGGATAAATTTCTTGAAACTTTAAAAACAATGATATTTATTGCCATCAAAGGAGATCCTGATGCTGATATTGAAAATGGTCAAAAGGAATACGGTGTTAATTTTGATGAAGTTATTCCACCACTTGCGGTATTGATACGAAAATTAGCAGAGGAGGACGAATTGGCAAGAACTATTACAAGAAATAGATTATTACCTGATAATGTGTAAGTTCAGTAGAGACTCTATATAAGTGCCTAAATTGTTCCCCTTAATAAATAATTATTACTGAAGTTGGTCATTTTTTTACAATTGCCAAAATTACTAAACTCTATACAAAAATACGCTAAAAACGTAAAACTAAATGTTTCACCGAAATTACTTTTCCTCAAAAATAATTTAGGCACACATCTATAGTACAAATTTAGAACATTATTTGAGAACTGATCTTAATTTCTTTTGAAATTTTTAGGGATCGATCTAAACCGTTAGAAAAAGGCGACAGTTTATCCGCACGTTTAATTCGATTAATGACTTCGGTAATGCTGCCAAATTTAAAAGATGGTATAAGTGAGTTGTTATATGTGATATGTGATCAAGATGGTAAGCCTTTATCATTAAGTATTTTACTTTTTTCCTATTATCAAATTTTATTCATGTATTTATTTTTTTTTAAAAAAAAAATCTTATTTTATGTAGCAAATTTATTTGTTCATCACGTGGGATACGGGAACGCTGCCGGCTTTCTAATGAGTCGAAACATAATGATTCCACCATCTACATCTCCAAAACAACAAGGTCATTCTGAAAAACCAATCAATCCAATCACTGGTCAGTACTTAGATGATGAAGCACCTTCACTTTCTGATATGACAGATGAAGAAAAAGAGAGGGAAGCAGAAAGGTTGTTTGTTTTATTTGAAAGACTCAAGAAAACGGGTGTTATGAATGTTGTTAATCCCGTAGAGGAAGCTGCAAAGTCCGGAAAGCTTGATGAGGTTCCAGACAACGAAGAAAGCGATTAACTAAAATAGCTTTTTTTCAATTTAGTTCGTTTATATTTATTTATTATTGTTTGATATGTTTGTATATATATATACTTTTATTTAAAATTTTTAGATAACCGAATTAAATTTTATATACTTAGTATTCGTCACCTGAAAACGTTATATAAATGCAGTTGCAATAATTTTTGGCTATTTAAATAAACCTCTCGTCTTGCATAAGAGTTATTCAATTCTTGTCCAAGTAGAGTGGAGAATTTATAGAATGATTTAACGGTCCAAAAAAATGATCTTGATTCTGCTCAACTGATGATAAAAACGTTAACAAGAAAATGAACATACTGCTAATCTTTGTTGCATCCATGCTACCAATCAAATAGAATTCTTGCTTCCTTCAAAAGTAACATAGAATCAGATTTTACAATATGACATAAGAATTCTATTCAATTACATACATCATTTTTTTCATTCTTTTAAGCTTACTCAACACTTCAGCTTTTTTAAAGCCAGATCGAGTATTTTGTAATATTTTTAATATGTGCCGGGCCTCCGATCCAAATTTAGATCATTCGATATTACAGACGCTTTTTATTTACTTTTTTGTATAAACGTATAACCCTATATGTAAGATTTTTTTTATTTAGAGCACGAAAGCAGGTTGTCGTAGTAAAATTGTGTTAACTACGATACATGTCATAAAGTGTGCGAGTTTTTCGAGTCCTATTCATTTACGGCATGAATATTGTACGTACATAATATCGTAATGCACTGACTGACCAAAGTACTCTCATTTTTCATTACCCCCAGTTAAAAGTATTTTACTCGACATATTTTTTTTAACCAACACCATCACATATTGATTTCTGCATTACATATAACTTATATATAAGTGCGTGAGAGTGAAAACCTGGAAATAAATTTAATGATTTACTATGATTGGTTACAGGTTTTCTCTCTCACGCACTCCGTCATCGATAACTGATCTTGCGTTACCAACCTAAAAAATTTCGCTAAAAAAATTTTGCCGTTAGATTAGGGTTAGGTTTTACTATTAAGTTAGATTAGGAAGAGCTTTATTGGTACCAAAATTTCGCAAGGAAAACATTTTGTTAGTACGCAGAAAGTGGTTTCATAAACAAAATGTTGAGTTAGCTTTGATTTTTTGCGTTTCTTTTCTTCTGCGTCACACCTGATCTTGAAATCTGATTGGCCAGTGATTATTTTTTAGATTGCTTAGACCCCGGCAGTGCACTACGGTATATATCAACAGCGTCAGGGTGTAGAATAGATTTTCCGATCACATGATTATTAGCCAATGGATAATCACAATTTAGTGTAACGTAACACGATCAGGGGTAACATCGATTTCGAAGAAATTAGCCATTATCGTTATCTTGAAAATTGAATTAAGAAATTGCTCTTTGTGCTCTAATTAAAAATTTTCTTTGAACGATTTTACTAATAACTTTACTAAACTCAAATCCAAACCTTAATACTAACCAAACCTAAATGAAACTTTAAGTGCTATGATGGGATTTTGTTGATCATTATGTAATCGAAAAATCTATTTTACATGTTGTATATCTCATTTAGAATTACCTTAATCTGGAACCTTCTTAGAAAATTTCTTATTAAAGGTCTTAAACTCTTAATTCCAAGAAAAATTTAAACATCCAGATTATTTATTTTGATTATCAATTCTTTAGACATTTTTTAATAAAGATTAAATTTTTAAAAAGTTAAGCTAGTTTGTTCTAATTTGATTTGCAACTTTTATTTATTTTAATTTTTATATAATTACTTTATTCATGTTTATTAACAAGGATTTATTTTTAATTTTTTGTATAATTTATTTAATAAACTTCTTTTTTATACTTAATATTAACATTATATATATTATATCTTATATTACATCTAATTTCAAAGTTTGCTAAATAAACTTGAAATATCAATTTACATTTTGCTTTAAAAAAAGTTATAATAATTTATATTTTTGCAAATGCAAATTTTAATATTGGGCTTAGTTTAGGCCGCAGATAAATTAGTCTGAGTTTTTT